CATTAGCTGAAATCAATATCACMTTCAGTTCCACTTTAGTCTCATTTTGCTACCCCACAGACAGGGCTCTATGCAAGCTACTAGAGAAGTTTTTCCTTTTTAGCAGAAGGTCTAGAAGACGTCATTTCAGAATCGAAAAATGTCACAATGTAAGTAACACCTCATTCCATTTTGTTTCTTGCATAGACTCGAACTTGGACTTGGCCTACAAGTAACATAAGAAAGAGTTTCTTCACTCCTTGAAGTTTATTTYATTTTTTTCTTTGACAGAGACGTTGAAGGAGGTTTCCACAATCTGTCTTCATTTGGTGTTCTACTCCAAGTCCCACCAAATGCTGTCACCCRTCCTACAGTAATTACATGTAGAAAAATTTCCCCAGACCGTATTCGTCTTCCAACAGAAGAAAATGAAACACTAGTTAGTAATTGTGTAAGATTTGAATCCAATTCTCTAGTCGAACTACAAAAACCCATAATTGTCACACTGGCGCATTCTGGTCCAAGCAAGAAGGAAGGWTACGAAACGATAGTGAAGGAACTTCGGGATTCATGGGAACAAAAAAAAGGTTAATTTATCGATCCTCTCAATCTTCTTTAGTTCTAATTTAATTGCTTAAGCTTGATCCGTTAAAGAGAAGTCCTGTTTCTTTTGGATTTGCTTAGTTTGGTGTGTTTAGCAAGCTCAATTTCGCTTTGTCTTGCAACGCATTGCTTTGCTGTGCTGTGCTGTGTTTTCTTCAAACTACACATACACAAACGGTTTAAATTTACMGATTTTTTAAAWATATATATATTTAATAATTTCGTTATTACGAATCTTTAGAAATACGAGAAGACATCCCGCTTGCACGTGAACACTTTAATTCAGCGTACATTCGTGTAGAAATCATGATCAAAGGGTGCACRGCTCTTGCAGTTGTTACCAGACTCATCAAAGATACCTTTGAAGTCACAGACAAAGGATGCGTCGTAAGGTCATCTGTATGTGAGGATGTGACATTGGAGTTTCCTGAAGGAGCTGTTGACAAGACTTACATTGGATCCTTAAAGGTTTGTTGAATTAAGTTTTTCTGTTTGTAATGCTGCTGCAGTTCAGTTTCCTGACGGAATAGACGATAAGATTTTCAATGAATCTTCGAAGGTGTTCAAACCGAATTAAAAAAAATACCACCGCAAGAACAGTAGTTGCATGCAAAGCTCAACGGGGTAGAACTAAAAGCGTTGGCCTTTGGCAGCCGCTAAACAGTCCATGCATGCATGACACCGGAGCACTGCTCTAACCAGTTTGAATTAGTAAGGGTTGATTTGAGTGAGAGGAAAGAGAAAAACCGAAAAGCCAGAAAATTCCTCGGACTCAAAAACAGAACCAACCAACTCAGCTCACATGGGGCGACGGGACCGCAGAGGTGGTAGGCGAACGTTTTACTATCACACCATCCTGAATACCCATAAAGTCATGTCTTTTGTCCGTAATGAGTTTGGTTAGGTTTCCTGGAGAAACAATTAATAAGTCATCTTTTTTCAGTTGTTGATGATGCCAGATCACATTGACATTCTTGATGGCATGGCTGCATATCCTTGTCCAATTATTTTAATCGATGGCTTTGATGGCGTTAATTTTACGATTCCCGTAAAGATTAAATTACCACACTCGTATCCCGAGGGATACCCGACTGGAAATGTTTGTCTCCTGACTATGGACGCTCTGCACGAGTGGAAGGATATCACAAATGAAGTCCGTTTTGTTGAAACAGAATCTCTCATTGAACTGCAAGTGAGCCACTTTTCGTGGTAAGTCAGTGATGGTTTCAATCTTTGGACATTTCTTTGTATTTGTTTTAAAGTTGTAACTGGCCACGGCGGTATACAAATAAACTTTATTATAACTAGAGGCTGAGCACAACTCATTCGAAGTAATTTACTTTCTAAAGAAGCTTTACAAACATAAAAAGGGGGACTATGAAACCTCTAAAAATACCCCGAAAGGTAAAAACTCAGTGGCCTCGTGGCCGCCGTGCCAGAGAATGACTCCGCGCATGCGCACCACAGACCACAGGGAACCCAAACTACCACAGGGACCCCAATGCAGTTACATGGCTCCCCAAAATGTTATCCTGTGATAACATTTTCCTTAATTAACAATATGAACTATAACAATCTCAACAATATTCTTCATTTCTTCTATGTGTCCGTCATAATCAACGTTCTTTAACCGTTCTGGCTCCTCGTCGGGGAATTCCGGTCTCCCTGCGATTCTACAAGCAGAACAAGCTTGTTTATAGGTCTCTCCAACTTGGATCTGTTGGGTGTCAGTACCGTGACTGATCGAACTTGACCTTGATCATCCGGATAAACACGTTCACAATTCTAGCCAACGACCATTTGTTTCTTGGGGACAGGGTTTCCTTTAGTAAGACTGCATCTCCTGCTCTGAAGTTCCTTCTCGGTTGGGTCCATTTCGGTCTTGCTTGTAGCTGTTGCAAATATTCTTTGCTCCATCTCTGCCAAAATTCTTGTGCTAGATGTTGTGTTCTTCTCCATTTCCTTTTGCAGTACAGATCTTCTCTTTTGAACTCTCCAGGTGGAGGTAACACGAGTCTTGTCTTCCCAGTGAGCAGCGTACTTGGAGAAATCGGCGGTTCGGACAGGGGGTCGCTGAGTGTCTCCACCGTCAAGGGTCTGCTATTCACGGTAGCCTCTGCTTCACATAGGAAAGTTCTCGGCGTTTCTTCATCAATGCGGGCACCATGCTCTCTTAGAAGTCCGTTCATGACGTTTCTGATTGATCTAATTTGTCTTTACCAAACACCTCCAAAGTTGCTTGCGGAAGCTGGATCCTTGACCAAATCTACGTTGTCCTTTAGTAGTTCTGCTTTCACTTTCTGGTCGTCCATCTCATCAATAGCTCTCTTAAGTTCAGCTTCAGCATCTCTTGACGGTGGATCTTCGTTGTTTGACGTACCACGGGCTGAAATAATCGACCGCGCAGTATGTAAACGGCGGGGCAGGTTCCAGGCGTGACTTAGGCAAATCCGCCATCTTCTGTTCTCCAGTGGTACCTCTGAGGTAACGACACTTCGACCAGTTTCGTCACATGGGTCGATTTCGGCAAAATAATGGGATTCTTGAGTGATTCTGATAGATTTGCTTTCCGAATTCTTCCTCCAACCTTGATAATACCTTTCTCGTCCACGAAGGGGTCCAATGTGTGAAGAGAGCTCGTTTTCTTTAATGCGACTTTCCTTTCTTTGTCCGTCTCGCGGCTGCTGTACTTTGGGCTGTTCTGGATGTCTCGGAGACTCTTTAGTTCAGATGGAGACGCAGCTTTCTGGATTTGTCTGATAATTTCTTCCTCAGCTTCTTCTAGATCCTTGACAGTCATTTCCATTGTGGAGGACGCCCCGTTGCGTTGTTTACAATCTCGTTTTCTTGTGAATTTTGGCTGCACTTGATTCTGTCTCTAAGCTTTCTTTTGTACTTCAAACAAAGAGCTATAGCCTTCTTCGCCTTGTGCCAACTTGAGAATCTTTCTAATCTGCTGAGTATACTGCTAGGTTCTTCCTTGACTATGCTTGCGTTCACCCTGATGTTCTTTACACCTTTTGCTGTTCATTAACGGCAAAGGAATATTCATTGAAGCGAAGAAGCATTGTCATTAGAGCGAACAGGCATACAATAAGGCGAAC